CACTGCACTCCAGACTGGGCGACAGAGCGAGACTCCGTCTCAAAATAATAATAATAATAATATCATGATATGAGGACACAAGAAATACTTTCTAGGATACTAGATCAACAACTTGGGAAATACTGCTGTAAGCATGCTACACTGTAATTTTTGTTCTTTTTTTTTTTTTTTCTTATTAGGAATCTTTCCCTGAAATTAACAAAGGACGTTGATCAAGAAGCCAGGTGTTCCCACATCAGCCGAATGCCCAACAGTCCATCTGCGGATTGGCCCCTACAAGGTGTGGAAGAAAATGGAGGCATAGATTCTTTGCCATTCAGACTGATGTTACAGGACTGCACAGCAGTCAAGACGTTATTATTAAAGATGAAGAGAGTTCTTCAAGAGGTAATGGTTTGCTCTAAGATTAATGTCCTTCAGTGCTGGTAGACAATGAAGTCAGAAGACGTGGTGAGACCCTGCTCTGTCAGTGATTAACTGCATGGCATTGTGCAGGGATCGGGTTTCCTCTTGGACCTTAGCTAGTCTCATATGTCAAATGAATGTTTTGAAGTTCTGGTTTATAAGGTACTCTTTAGCCTTAAAATTTTAAGAGCTTACGAAATACTTAAAAAATAATAAATTGATGCCAAGCATCTTCCTATTTGTCAGTTAAGGAGAAATGGATGTCAGCTATAAAGTTATGGTTACATGCTATTATAAAGCTATTGAGAGATCTATTAAATGTATTTCACATCAATGATACTGGGGCTTTGTTTTTATGATACCATAAAAGTAGTTTACTTAGTCGTTTTTGTTCCAATAATAATCAGAATTCAGTAAAGTTGAATTACAGTAAAATTCAATCTGAAGGTTGGAATGATTTTGCCTAAGGAATGCAGCTACCCTCCACACAATCTGGGCCTAGTTAGTGAAACAGTGAGCTAGTCAGGAAAATGTATAATGGGATTCTTTTACGCTTGTGCCCAGAAATCAGCCATTCTTTAGGATTCAAGTTTGCTTTGGTTTGATTTTTATAATTACAACATTTGTTTTATTTGAAGGATTTCTATGAAACATATACACACGATTATTATTGAATCGTGACATGTGAAGTGAGAGTTAATAATTTTAAATTATTTTCCTCAAGTAAGTGTAATTTCAGGGCAACAGCCTGAAATTTGTGTCTTTGTATTACATCCCATTATCTTTAAGTAGATTTACCTTTATTGATTGGAGATATTAATAAAGAATTGAGAAAAATATTATTATTTAGAATTGATAGTCTCTATGTTATAATGATTGCTACCATTTGCTTTTTGAACACTTTCATAATAATGCTAGCAGTTACCACTGGAGGCTAGAACTGAATCAGGAAGAAAGAAGGCAATATAAGATAAATGAATGCCATAGACTATTGGGACTTCCAGTGTGCTCTCATCAGCTGTTATAAACTGTATTAGTCTGTCTTACACTGCTAATAAAGACATACCTGAGGCTATGTAGTTTATAAAGGAAAGACATTTAGTTGACTTACAGTTCCACATGGCTGGGGAGGCCTCACAATCACAGTGGAAGGCGATGAAGGAACAAAGTCACATTTTACATGGCGGCAGGCAACAGAGCTTGTGCCCGGAAACTCTTATTTATAAAACCATCAGATCTCATGAGACTTATTCACTACCATGAGAACTGTATTTGGGGAACCACCCCCACGATTCAGTTAGCTCCACATGGCCCCCCACCTTGACACATGAGGATTATTATGATTAAAGCTGAGACTTGGGTGGGGACACAGTCAAACCATATCGTAAACAAAGACTGAAAGATATCTTCTCTGTGTCCCATACAGGTTGTATCACTAGGGCAACCTTTGTTTCTGCATTTTGTGGATCCTATAATGTGTTGTGCTAGAGTGGTATGCTTATACCTGATTACCCTTAGAATTTCAGAAATTATGTGAGCTGGCGGTTAAGCAAAGGCATCAAATAAATTATATGAACTTATAATTAAATCAATTACTTTTAAAAAGGGTTATCAGTATTCAAAACATATTTTCTATTTATTTTACTATTATCTACACTTGTGAGATGATTTACATCTTTTAGAATCACATGGTGGAAGTACTATATAATTCCTACTGTACAGATTTCCAACATGTAGATTCATTTATGTCATTTTGGTAGCTTGAAATCAGCCATGTGGGAGTATTTATGCCTCAGAAATTGGCAAACACTGCAAATTAAGGCCTCGTATTTTTGGCAAGCCTGTTGTTAAATATTTACTAGCACATTACTATGTGTATAACTATATGATTTCTATACTGACAACATAAATATTTGACTGCAAATGAATAGATAAGTTTGAATTTCTTCAACCTTTGGTTTAACATGCAACCTGATCCTCTTCAAACAAGGCAAACTTAGTAACAGCTATTATATTAAAAGGTACTAATCGCAACTATTCAGCTTTTTACCTCTCTGTTTGGTCTGAATTTTAATAACAAATCAATTCAAGCAAAAGTCAAGTAGAAAGAACTGACAGAAGGTGCAAGAGGCTTTCTTAGAGTACTTAATTTTATGATTTTAAAATATTCAGTGATATTCACTATAAAGTCAATATTCAAAATATATTGAGATGGTTTTTATACTGCCACCTGTTTGTCTTTATTAAGGAGTATTCAAAGAAGCTGAAGAGAATCTGTTTTTAAAGCTGATGTAGAGTGAAAAATACTTAATATATGTTTGTGCAGCCCATTCAGTGAGCAGAGGGTCTTTATTATCAACAGGGAAAAGCAATACTATTGTATGATTAGCATAGACAACAGTTCTACTAAGAAGATATTCAGAATAGATGTCTCTAAAGAAAATTGTTTTTTGAAATGTTCCTTAAGACAGGAAGTTTTAAACTGCAATTCCCATTTTATTACTAAATTTGAGTTTAATATCAATATGCATTTAGATTAACAATATCTTTTTAATGTAAAAAAAATTCATTCCTCTTTTTGAACTGATTTTTTGTGATGTACAATAGTTCAATCTTTGTTCACAGATTATTTTTTAATGGCAGGAGGTCCCTGTTATGTGGTTTCAAGGTAAAATAACTACTTAATTTTTATATGTCATATTAGAATATTCTTTTATTTGAGATATTTGTTACATGAGTATTGCTTTTATATATTTTTTCCCATTGATCTATTTGAAACCTATCACTTAGTAGAAATGCAGTGCATTCATGATATTTTTATACTTTTGCTAAGAAAGGTACACCTTTCTTGTGAGCAAATCAAGTTATCCTTTATTATTTTTGAGGGGACATCTTATACAAATAGCATTTGAAAATATCCAGAGATAGTAATAGTGAGAACACAGAATATTTTTGGCCTAACCTGTTTAAGATTGCTGTAGGGTTGTGGTTAATGACTAGTGGCTAGAAGGATGCCTAGACAGATTTTTAATAGATGACTTCCCTAAAGTTTCTAGAACAGATACAGGGTTGTGGAGTAATAAAAATAATTCCTTGGAAAGTTATACACAACAGGCTAAATAAATATACAGGTTGAGCATCCCTAATCTGAAAATCCTAAATCCAAAATACTCCAAAATGTAAAACTTTTTGAGCACTGATGTGACACCACAAGTGGAAAATTCCACATGTAAGTACTTTAAACAACTTGTTTTATACATGAAATTATTAAGAATATTGTATAAAATTATCTTTGGGCGATGTCTATAAAGTATATATGAAACATAAAGGACTTTCATGTTTAGACTTGGGTCCCATTCCCAAGACATCTTATAAGGTATATGCAAATATTCTAAAGTCTGAAAAAATTCAAAAAACACTTTTGGTCCCAAACCTTTTGGATAAGGGGTACTTGACCTGTACTCTATCTTTCAAGTACTCTTATCTATATAGTCCATATTGGTTATGCCATTTTAATGAATATAAGCATAAATGGTGAGGTCTACTTATAATATTTTAAAGCTACCTATAAAATTTACTTCTTGCAACATTTTTTATGAGCTATCACATGTTTAAAATTATTTTGCAATTTTTATTACTGGCTTAACGACCTTAGATGCTATTAAAATGTTAAATCCCATTAGCTAATTCCAGATTTTTTTAAAGTTATTTTGTCATTAACTGTCATTGCATTACTTATTATTCTACCTACTTTGGGTTTAATAAAAATTTTCATCAAGTAATTCATTTGGCGCTTAGTGATTCTTCCATTTTATGCCATCACCATAACAACATAAACCATATTAATCTAATCCAGGTTTGGGGATTATATGTGATATGCTATTTTATAACATAATATATACTTTCAATAAAATATAATTTTGAAAGTGAATAAAACTGTGAAAGTGAATCTAACAGCATGTTTGTATCTGAATCATCTTGGGTAGGAACCAGAGATGGAGATGAATAATGGCTAGGCATTGCTCTAAATATTCTGCTTCAGTGAACCTGTCTTTGGCCCAAGCATGTGAATGGTGAGGACTTACTAAGTGTCTCTTCCAAGTATACTGGAAAAGCACTGGGTTAGGATATTGTGTTTTAGACTGTTTGTATTAAACATCCTGAAACCTTCCTCTACTTAGGAGATTATTGCTCCTAAATACTTTTCAGATCTGCTTATATCTATCTCTTCTTCCAACTGCTCCTACATCAATGATGGTCCATTTTACTGAAGTTACTTCGTAACGGGTCTTCTTACTTCTAGTCTTCCCACCTATCAAATTAGTTTACTCATTGCTGTCAGACTAAAATGAATATGTGATCAAGTCAGTCTCCTGTAATTTTTTGAATGTTTCCTAATTGCTCTTACAAGTTCTTCTACAGGTTGTATAACAGTCTATATTTCCTCTATCATTGGAGCACTTATGTCTCCTCATTATAATTGCTAATCTTCCTTTTCCCGGTGATACTCTAAGATGCATGAAAATGATCTTGTGAACTTGCATCTTCTTATATCTTCTCAACCTGGAGGGTATTTGCTGTTAAATAAGTGTTTGTTAATAAATAAATGAAAGGAACTAGATTTCATTCTGTTTCCAGGCTACCATTAAAATAACTGTTGACAGAAAACAAATGATAAGCTTGAGTGCTTGATGGAATGAGGATCAAAATAAGTATGTAGAAAATTTCTCTTCATTAAACGAAGTGTACAATATGTTTTTTCTCCAAATATGAAATAAAGACACATCACAAAAATTACTAGATTTAATTTAATCAAGACTCATTTGTTTGCCCAAGTCTATCAATGGTAGATATAATTTCCTGAAGATTTTTGAGACCTTTCTATGCAGTAGATGGCTATAGTGTTCATTAACTGTGTTTTTAAAATTATCTGCTACATCTTCCAGATTAGAAGAAAGGCCTAGTGGTTTAGAGACTGGTTA